GGCCTCAGGGAGGAGGCTGTGGTTTAGGGCAGAAGGACGGAGCAGGGACAAGCGAGGTGGGGGCCTGGCAGCCATCCTGATCCCCCCTGATCCAGTGCCCCAGGCCACAGCCGACCAAGGAGAGCGGGCTCCTCAGAGGCTCTGGTGAGGCTCTCCGCCCTTGCTGGCATCTCAGCGTCCCAGTGCCTGCCTTCTGGGCTCTGAGGGAGACCTTGTTTGTCTTCTCTCGAGCCCGCTGCGTGCCTTCAGCCCCGGGTCTCTGAAACGCAGCCTTCCAGTTGTGGCTGGGTCTGTGGAGAACTGCTCTGGCGTCAGGAAGACCAGGCCACTGCCCCACAGCCCAGGCTCAGGGTCTGGAGCCCTGGACTTGGAGGCAGGTGACCTCAGTCTGAATGAAGCCTACATCATTGTATGGTCAGTGACCCGAGCCGCTGAACACCACTGTGATGTCATTTTACAGATGAAGAAACTGAGGCTCAGAGAGGATCGTAACTTGTCCAGGTTTTCATGGTGGAGGATCAGGATCCAGGACTACTTTGCCTGATTGCATAGTCTGTGCTCTGCGTCATTGGACAGTGATTGCTTTTACTAGCTCGCTGCGTGACCAGCGATGAGTGGCTTCACCTCTCTGAATTCCAGCTGCTCTTCTGGGGCAGAGGGAAAGTGCATTAGTCAGCTGGGGCTGCGTAACAAATACCACAGACATTTATTCTCTCACAGTCTGGAGGCTGGAGGGCCAAGCTCCAGGGGCTGGCACGGTGGTTTCTCCTGAGACAGCTCTTCCTGGCTTGCAGACAGCTACTTTCTCACTGTGTCCTCTTGTCTGTGTGTGTCTCCCCAGCATCTCTTTCTCTGCTTATAAGGACACCAGACGTATGGGATCAGGTCCCCACCCCTAAGACCCCATTTAACCTCAATTACCCCTTAAAGGCCCCATCTCCAAATATGGTCACAGTGGGGGCTGGGACTTCAATACATGAATTTAGGGGACACAATTCAGCCCATAACAGCTGGTAATGACAATCATACTGTGAGGCTGAAACCCATCGATACATGTGAACGTGTTTTCCTGGCACCCCGTGTACCCAGGAGTATTCTTATTTCTCTCTGAAAGATGGAAAAACAAGCAGAACTGCCCAGGATCACAGGTACCGCCTGGGTAACTCTAGTTTGCACCTGGAGCCCACAAGGGGTGGGTTGCGGTGGAGCCTCAACCAGCATCAAGGAGGGCTGTTCCCACGGTCTGGGCCCGTCCTACGCCAGCTTTGGGGCCCTTGAGAGTCACCTGGGGACATGTTAAAATGCGAATTAACATGTTAAGTGCTCCGTCTGGGGCGGGGCCTGAGCCTCTGCATGTCTGTGCTGCTCCAGTGCGGTCGTGTTGCTGGGCTGCAGACCCCCCTTGACGAAGCAGCTCCTCAGCCCTGACAGTTTCTGTGTCCGACTCACAGTCACTACAGCTGACACTTACGTCCCCCCGCCACCTGCCAGAAGCTGTTCCCGATGTTGCTTGTGCTTCCCAGAACCCCCAAAAAGAGGGCACCGTGGTCACTATTATTATCCCCATTTCATAGGTCAGGAAACAAGCACAGAGAGCACACAGCTGAATGACAGAGGGAGGACTGAGCCAGGCTCCAGGCCCCGCTCTAAGCACCGTGCAGACAGCTCCTTGCTTGGGGTGGGCGAGCAGAGCTGAGTCCTGGAGGCACAGCAAATCCAGAGAGTAGGAGGCGGTGTGATGCTGTCTTGTGCAAGTCTTTATTATAGGACACCATTTTGCAGATGAGGAAACTGAGGCACAGAGAGATTCAGCCTCGGAGGGCAGAGCTGGGCACAGACCTGGGGCTGCCTTGCTCCCACCCCAGCCTTGATCTGCACACACGGCCTTTCTGCTCCTCCAGGCTTCTCCCATTCCACACCTCAGGTCTCAGGCGTGGCTCCTGTGCCAGTGACATCAGCATCACCCGGGAACTTGCTGGAAATGCTCCACCCCAGACCTGCAGAGTCCACTCTGGGATGGAAGCAGTCATCGGTGTTAACAAGCCCCAGGGACTCAGCCCAGGTCTCGAACGCTGCCCTCGGTTACTCAGCTGGCGCATTTGCTCCTCCCTTGGGCTTGGGCTCAGTGACTGCCTCCTCGAGCTGAGCCGCTGGGTATCTCACCTGGCTTCCGATTTTCTGCATTCATGCCCGGTTTCTCAGAGCCCCCTGTGGCAGAGTCCTTCTTCTCCAAGGGCAGGAGCTGGGCTCAGTACCGCTGGGGGCAGGCGCCACGTCTCCCCAACAACCTTGAATTAACATTAACGTTCGGCTGTGCAATTCAGAGATGGGCCGAAATCCAAATGCTGGCAAATCGTCCTCAGGTGAAGAGTTATTTACAACAACAGGATATGTGCTAGACTTTTCCTGCATCCTTCAGCTGATGAGACGAACCGATAATTAATTATCTGTGAAGGTGGGAAAGCCTGTGTGGGGGAAGCTCTTTGCCAAGGACGTGTTTGATCACAGGTGTCTCCCCTCCAGGGCTCTCCAGGACCCTCTCGCCCCTTCTCCGGCTCTGCCCCGGGCTGGCAGGAGCTGTGTGGGGGAGCGGAGGGCAGGTCTTGCTAGAGCTCCTCTCTGCAGGCTCTCAGGGAGTTAACCCTGAAACTCCCTTCCCGCCTTTCCTCGTCTTACAGCTTCTCTGTGGTGTTCATGCAGTTGGCCCGCTCCTCACTGAAAGCTTGGCCTCAGTGCCTATGCTCTCACCTTGTTCCTCTCCTCCCACCACTCCCCTCAGACCCCTGAGCGCTCCTTCCTTCAATGCCTGTGCCCCTCTGGTCCCACTGGGGCCTGCTCTTCCCGCTGCCCGCCTTCTCTCTTCTCTCATCGCCATCGACATGCTGATGCCCCCCAGTCTCAAGCCCCCTCCCACACCCAGTCTCCACCGGCCTTCTGGACCTCTGCCCTCTCATGACCCTGGGCATTTCAGCCTCAGTGTGTCTCCAGTGGGCCTCATCTTCCTGTTGCTGCTTCCTCCTGCCTTCCCAGGCCCGGGGAGTGCCACACCCCGACCCCCCGGATGCCCAGGCCAGAAGCTTGGGCACCATCATCCCCTTTGTCCTCACCCCTCACATGGATCGTTTTCACAAGGTTTTGTCAATTCTGCCTCCCAACTATTCCTCAAATCTGGACATTTCTTCCATCCTCCTGGACACCACTTCACTGTAGCCCCCTTTGTTCTCCCCTGACTGGCCTATCTTTGCCCCCTTCTAATCCCTCTATGAGTGTAACTGGATGCGTTTAAACTTGAATCTGATCTTGTGACCGTCTTCTTCTTATCTCCCCACCGCGCGGTGTATGCGCCGCACCCTCTCGGATGCCTCCTTGAGCTCCCTAGTTGGGTTCAGGGCCCTCGCCTGGGCTCCCTTAGAGCCCTTTGCCCCTCCTGTAACAATACTTCTACTCATGTTACAACCGTCTGCTCGTCTCCCCACAGACTCTCACCCTGTCACTCTTGCGTCCCCAGCGTGCAGCCCGCAGTATCTGTGGCGAGAATCCCTTCCTTCCCAGCTGGACGGGTCCTTGTTCTGGGCGAACCGTTGAGCCGTCTGAGCCCCACCTGTGCGATGGGTCCCTCTATGACCTGGAGAGGGAACGCACGGGCGCGTGAAGAAACTTGTGAACAGACACCTCCTTTTTATGCAAATGGAGGCATTTCTGTGGGGGTGTGTTTCTGTTTTAGCTGTAGCTAACCCCTTAGCCTGCGTCTGTCCTCTGATCTCTATCCATTCTGAGTTCAGGGACTGTCACAAAACCAGGAGTTCCTGGCAGGGACATCCTCAGTTTTAAGGAGTGAGGTGGTGTCCCAGCAGGACCAGTACTGTCTGTAGGCAGCACTGAGTCCTTCCGACCACCCTTCTCTGGCAGAGCTGCTTACACTGAATTTCATTTAGTTTCTACAACAATGCGGGTTATAAATGATCATAAAATCACAATCACACATGGACTTGTCCACGAAAAAAATGATAAAATTAAATCTGATTGTCGTCCTCTTTTTCCAAGTTTTCGCAGTGTCTTGGTTTGTGTTCGCTGGCTTGGCTTGTGGTCTGCAGTGATCCCCAGCAGGCAGGCAGGGGCGGCTGCCAAGGGTTTAAGATCGCTCTGTGGGAGGAAAACAGCATTGAGAACATTCTCTCTATGACTTGGTTTGCTCTGGAAATGGGTGAAGACGGCTGATCTTCGTCTTAGTTGGGGCATCAGAGCAGACAGCCCTGTGGGATCCCGGCGTGGGAACCAGCCACAGTGCCATCTTGTTGTGATGAGGGACAGTGGCAGGGGTGGGGGCAGGGCAGGGCTGGTGCCCTGCCAAGTGAGCTGACAGACGTCGGTGGGCCAGGGGGAGCCAGGTGTTCCTCCGTGGGGTGGGTGGCACAATGAGGCATGGAATGAAGCCTTCCTGGGCCTGGCTGCTGCTTCCTTCTCTTCCTTCTCCTCCAGCTTCGTGTTTGAAAGAGGCGCGAGCTGCCTGATAGACTCCCGCCTCTCCTTGGAGGGTGCTTCTTCGAGGGCGGCTCTGCCGCCGGCCCACACAGCCTGCCGCGGGCACGGGTGGCCTTGTTCCTGAGATGCCGTTATGCCTGTGTTACAGGAGGTGGCTCCTTATTTGGTTTGGGGGGCAGGAATCAGAGCTGGGAAGCACCATCTTGCTGGGATGGAGGAAAGACAATCTCTCCTTCTCTGTAATGGCAGAGTGGAGGGGCCCTTGGTTGAGTTCAGGACTGACAGAGGTACCATTTGGCCTCCTCTGTTCTGTACTGTGTGTCTTTTAGGGGAAGTGTGTGTTCCTTTGGAAAAGATATCAACAAGTGACTGGTATCAATCATATACATGACCTTGAAGAGATTAAGATAAGACCTATAATTTTTTAATCTCCTCTTAGGGGTGTGTGTGTGGTGTTAAATGGGAGGTATACTGGATTACATGTCCATCAACCAATGTGATCTTATTGTTCTCTACAGGAGATGTCGGTGACAAAGGACAGAAAGGCAGTGTGGGTCGCCATGGAAAAATTGGTCCCATTGGTTCGAAAGGTATTTCCGATGCACTTCTTGCCTCATGGTCCCTTGCAGGCCCTCAGCACCCGGGCCCTCTGAGAATGATCACAGACTGAACGGTCTCCCCTGGGGGTCTTGTTTATTTTTTGTGCTTTATACATGATAAAGTCTGTCCTGGTGTGTGCATTTGGGGAGGGGTCAGAGTTAACTGATGGCTTTGTGCCCACCAGGGCAGGACAAGTACTTCCCAGTCTGCAGGACTCACGTGCCGCCCCGGGGGGAGAATCAGGAGCCGGTGCGCCTGGGCAAGACTGACTTTCCATCTGCCACTTCCTTAACCAGTTTAATAAAACCACTAGAGCCCCATTTGAGTAACAAAAGGACAGTGCTCCAGAAACACTGTCTACCCACCTCTGGCTTTCGTGTCTTAGACTTTCTGAGACCATGGGGCCGTTCTCAGTGAGAGCGAGGAACAGGAGGGCAGCAGCGGTGCTAGTGACAACACGCCTGCGGTTTCCAAATGGTGTCCATCTTGTGACCTCGTCTGACTCGCACAAGCCTGGAGGGGGGCAGATCAGAAGACTGAGGCCCTGGGCAGTTAAGGCTCGGCTCAGAATTGCGCAGCTCTCCCACCCTCCATCCTCACTCCGGCAGCAAACGTTTTCTGAGCCCTGGATGATCCCTTAGCCATGCTGGGCTCCGGAGGGCACAGCCGGGGGAAGAGTCAAGGAGCCCCAGTCCGTGAGCTCTCAGTGAGTGGTCCCTTGGAGGTCTCCCAATAGGTCCTGCCCTGGGTGCTAGAAATGAGGAGATCGGGACCGGGAAGGCCAGTGTTGGTGCAAAGCCGCCGAGAAGCGCAGGTGAGGGGGGATCTGCCTTGTGGTCTGCCCAATGCTGGAGCCTCATTAACCTGCCTCGGGGTTTGAGCTGTGATTGGGTTCAAGTGGTTTGTTCTGATTGGTTGCCACAGACCTCCCCGAAGCCCAGCTCATCCCTCACAGGAGGGGGCCTGGCCAGGAGTGTAATGGAGAGTGCGGCCAGCTCAGCTGAGCTGCTCGCTCCTCCTGGCAAAGCTGTAGGCGGCACGTGCCCCAGGGATGGCCGACTCACTAACGAGCACAGATACGCAAGGTGTAAAGGGGGATACGGATGCTTTGCAGAACTTTAAAAACATTGTGGCAAAATATTTGTAACATAATATTTGCCGCTTTAACTATTTTAAGTGTATAACTCAGTGATATTAAGTACATTTGCCATATTGTACAGTTATCACCGCTATCTGCTTCCAAAACGTCTTCATCATCCCAAAGAGAAAGCCTAGACTCATGAAGCAATGACTCCCCATCCCCTCCCTCCAGCCCTGAGAAACCGCTACTCTGCTTTCTGTCTCTATGAATTTGCCTATTCTAGGTATTTCAGCTAAATGGAATCATACCAGATTTGTCTTTTCGTGTCTGACTTATGTCACCTAGTATACTATTTTCAAGGTTCATCTGTGTCGTAGCATATGTCAGAATTTCCTTCCTTTTTAAGGCTAAATAATACTCTATTGCATCGATGGAGCACATTTTATTTATCCATGCATCTGTTGGTGGACATTTGGGTTGTGCCCACCTTTTAGCTATTGTGAAGAATGCAATGGATATTGGCGTATGAATAGGGATGTGTTTGCTTTTAATGTACAGCATGTGCTCTGGATAAATGTCATGTCTCACCAAGGGAAAGCGTGCTAGAAAGACCCTTATTCAGCTTATCTTACTTGATTTGCTTCATCTTTGAGATTTCCATCCCAGGTCCTGGTCAAGTTGACCTTTCAGTGGTTTTCAAACCCCTGACGCTGATAAAAGACCACAAAGGCATCAGTTGGAAGGAGCCTGCCAAGTGTGCTCCCTCCCCAGGGAAATGGACTATGCATCTACATAGACAGAAGAGTCGCTGCCCCCTCACTGTCCCATGCCAGCTGAGACACTCGGGTTCTCTCAGGGAGAAGGAAGACAATGCTTGAGGACATTCCTGTGACTTTAATATAACTATTCACGTTCTAATTTTAGAATAGCTAGAAAGCTTAGTTGCAGGATTTCATTCAACCCCCTTGTTTTAGAAGTTGGCAGACATGGAGGGCAGTGTCCTGTCTCAGAGGAGATGGAGCCCAGGTCTCCCGGCGGCTGAACCCTCCTAGGACGCCATGTGCCTCTCAGAGAGGGGTCAGGAGGACTCCGACCTCAGCAAGTACTGAGGGTACTCTTTACTCTGTCCGGACTAGATGGTCGCTAAGGTCCACTCCGGCTCCACGATCACATGTTCCATCTGAAATTTCCTGCTGTAATGAGGGACGGGGATAGAAGTGGCATCAGATTTAGCTGCTACTTACTCATGGTGTTAAGGATTCATGACATGATACCTGCAAAGTGTTCCATGAAACATCTGGGATTTTCCAGAATTGGCTTAAAGAATGATCGTCTGATAATCTCTAAAATCCCACGGTATGTATATGTTCCACATCACATAAATAGAGCCTGAAGAATTAATTATCTATAGATCGTCACTCCCAAGTTCACAGCAAAAAGAGGGTCTGGGAGAAATCTCTGGGCATTGCACACAAGAAAGAGCATTGCTGACCTTGACTCTTTTGAACTCGTGAACCACGTCCCAACTCTGCTTGGTGACTCTGACCTCAGTTTTCTCTTTCAGGTGAAAAAGGAGATTCTGGTGACATTGGACCCCCGGGCCCTAATGGAGAACCAGGTATGGCATAAAGGGTCCAGGGATTTTTAGAACACAAACTAAAAAAGTGTCAATTGTGACATAAAACTGCACTAGGCTGGAAAACGAGCACATGTAAGTGCCGTGCGCTCTCCTGCCTGTCACACCCTCTTGTAGACGATGTCAGTGTCCGTCCCCTTCTGCCTGAGGATTTTCACGTCCTTCCTAGGACTGTAGCCTGCTTTCCAACTACAGATGATCATGCCTCGTACGCAGTTCGGCTCAGATATTCCCGTGCTAGAGCTCGCTGTTCTCGTTTCTGAATACCTCTCTGGCGCCACAGGATCTGCCCCTTCCTCTGACCACCAAACCGCTCAGAACAGTCATCCTTGCAGCCCACTCCCTATTCCCTCCGCTGAGGCTCCCCCCAGAGGTCCCCAGGGACCCAGTCCGGCTCATGGACTTAGCCCACTTCCCTGCTGACCATCCCTGCCCAGTGTCCTTGAGACCTGGCCACAGGCAACCTCCCCGTCCTCTCTGCCTGCTCTCCCATTGCCACCACTGCTTCCTCTCTTCTTTGCAGAGCTGCCTGCCACCCTCTCCTCTTTCTGCACGTGGCCGTCACCTCCATGGTGGCCCTCACAGTGCAGTCCCACCGGTCCACTTGCCTGCATGCCTCTCCTCTCGTCCTGCTGCCCGCACCTTCCCTCAACCCCTCTCCCTTCAGGGGACGCATTTCCCATGTGGCTACGTAGGCCGGCCATCCTCCAACAGCCTCTCCTTCCCCAAACGCGGTGTCGCCCGCCAGACTGTACTGCACGGCTGTCCCTTTTCTTATTCCTGCTGCCACCACCTCATTCAGGCTCTCCTGACTTCTGGCTGGATGACTGAAATGCCAGTCTAACTGGTCTGTACTTTCCAGTCTTCTTTCCCACGAAATGTTGACCACGAAAGACGCTTAACAGATACTGGATTTAGAAGGAAGACCCGGTGTTTGAATAACTAGAATATTCTCCCAGTTAGACCCCAACCCTCTTTTCTGCCTCCAATGGATATGCTCGCCAGTCAGGACCCACAAGGAAAACCAGTGGAACCCAGTGTGGTTCCCAGTGGTGGGGTGGTGACTGTCCCTTCCAGACTGATGTGTCTGTGGGGACGTCCTGGTATCCACTTGCTGAGTCAGCCTGTCTTTCTCCCCCTCCCACATATCGTATCTTCACTGGATCTCACAGGGACAGTGCCATTCGGAAAGTGGTCTCTGCGACAGGTTTGACTCTCAGAAACCAGGGGAAAAGAGGCATTAGATTTCAGAATAAAAAGCCCTTGTTTAAAAAGCTCCCACACCACCGCAGAGACGAAGGGGGGGAATGGCGGCCTGAGGAACGGCTTTGCCCCTATGAGTTCAGTCCCTGGAGGTGACAGCAGCCTGCTCTCGCGGCCACGTCCCAACACTCAGCACATCTGAGTGGGGAGAAGAGGACCCGGCAGCACGTGAGAGGTGTGACGGGGAGCACATCCCTTGGATGGGCCTGTACTGCGAGATGAGGGGGCCAGTCAGGCCTCCACAGCTCAGACACTTGCAAAGGAAGACGAGGACACGAATGCTGGCTTCTCTCTGGAGAGATCACTGCAGAAAGCCTCAGTGCCTCACACCTCAGTGAACTGGAAGACAACATTGATCTTTGATAAAACTTCCATTAAGAAAACCCAGACCCAAGCCCAACAAATGTTGTTTCAAATGCCCACATGTGCAAAGGACCTTTGTGTGTGGGAAGTGGGGGGTGGGGGGTGGGGGGTGGGGGGACGTGTTTTGGACTCTAAGAGATGGAGGATGGCTGAGATTTTGGAAGATGGGTTCAAACTTCCAACAGACATGTTCAGACTGGAAGGCTGGGCTGAAGGTGGGAATTTGGCAGGAAAAGATGACAGGTCCGCAGGCAGGCTCACAGCAGTCAAAGGACAGGGCCTGGGAGCTGGGCAGACACTGCTCCTGTTCTGGTGGAGAGGGTGCAAGCCAGCAAGGCCTGGATGGACCCCCCGCACCTGTGAAGGCCCAGCGAGGTTCCGAGGAGGCTCTTGACAAAGTGGAGCTCTTCACAGGAGGAAGACTAGGGTCCTCACCAAGGGGCCGGGAGAAACTGCCTCATCTGAGGACGGCTGGCAACGCTGGGATAAAATTCAGCTTATCAGGCAGCCGGTAGGACCCGTTGAGGGGCCACGTGTCCTGGACCCTCTGCCCCAGAGGGATCAGTTTTTTCCAGGGGTTTCTGGTCTAGCCAGAGGGGCACAAACGTGAGATTCTGGAGCTAGACTCACCCAGATGTCTGGGACTCGCTGGCCCTGTGATGTTGGCCACGGTGACCAGCATTTTACGGGCCTCAACGTCCTCACCGTCAGACAGGGAAGACTCCAGTACGCAGTCATCAGCCCCCTCCTGTCATCATTTAAATACAGTCACGTTTTTCCTACTTTCAAACAAAACAGGATTTGGAAACCCGCCCTGACGCCTGGCCCCTCTAGGGGCGCCACACCGGGACCTCGGGCGCGCAGGCTTTATTCGGGACTTTCACATCCTGCCCCCCCGTTTCTGCCCCAACGCCCCCCGACACTGCGCCTGCGGAGAAGTCCCGGCCGCTGTGCGGTTGCCTGGAGGGGCTCTCTCAGGCCTCCCCCACCTCACCCTTCCCAGCCCCGCCCCTACCCCCGCGCATGCCCACAAAGCGCAAATCTACACCCCCGCCCGACGTCGACTCCGATTCTCCGGGGTCGGTGTAGCGCTCCTGTTCCCAGCCCAGCTCCGGCTCCGCGATCGCAGCGCCTCCCGCTGAGTCACTCTCGTCCCTGGGCGCCTCCTGCAGCGCCTTCTTCCCGTTCACCCGCATAGTCAAACAATTACGCTCGAATTTGTCCTCTTGGTTTTCCCCACCACTTTTCTCAAATGTTTCGTCTTCTCCCCATCTTCACTGTCCCCCCTGAGCCAAGCCAGCACAATGCTCTCTCGGCTGCTGTCATACCCCTCCGCTGTACCCTCTGGTTCCTCTCGGGGCCCTGCGCCCCCAGTTCTTTCTTCTGTGGCAACCAGGGCGATGTCTTAAAACATAAGTCGGATCTTGGCTCTGCCTGTTAAAATCCTTCCACTGGGCTTCTCCTTGCCTTTAGGATAAAACCCGACATCTCCATCATGGCCTCGAAGGCCTGCGTGGTCTCTGTGGAAATAACCTTTATACTCGGGGGAGGGGCGCTTAGTTTTTTCTGAGCCCAACCCCTTGATTGATCTTCAATCTGTAATCACCGGCTCTCCGCAGGCATCCCGTGTGAGTGCAGCCAGCTCCGGAAGGCCATTGGGGAGATGGATAACCAGGTCACCCAACTGACAACTGAGTTAAAATTCATAAAAAATGGTATGTCCTTCTCGATGCTTCCCCGCTCCCTGGCCCCCGCCCCCTGAGCCGCAGACATGGAGCTCTCTGCGCTGCCACCCGCCTGCTGTCTGTGTCTGTTTTGTGTGTGTGGCGTGCACTGAGTTTGTTTATAGAAATGCAAGTGCTCACTTTTCAGCACTGCCCTCCCCCGCAGCTGTTGCCGGCGTGCGAGAGACAGAGAATAAGATCTACCTGCTGGTGAAGGAGGAGAAGAGGTACGTGGATGCCCAGCTGTCCTGCCAAGGGCGAGGAGGCACGCTGAGCATGCCCAAGGACGAGACCGCCAACGGCCTGATGGCCGCCTACATCGCGCAGGCCGGCCTCGCCCGCGTCTTCATCGGGATCAACGACCTGGAGAGGGAGGGCACCTTCGTTTACTCCGACCGCTCCCCGATGCAGACCTTTAACAAGTGGCGCAGTGGCGAGCCCAACAACGCCTACGACGAGGAGGACTGCGTGGAGATGGTGGCCTCGGGGGGCTGGAACGACGTGGCCTGCCACATCACCATGCACTTCATGTGCGAGTTCGACAAGGAGCACGTGTGAGCGGGCAGCCGGCCTCCTGAACCTTCGCTTTTTGCAGCGTTGTTAGCAGGGCCGCTCCACGCCGGCGGCGGCTGGCGAGCTGTAGTCAGGAGAGCTCTTCCCGACAGCATCATCCCCTCGAGAAGCCCAGAGCCTCCTTAAGTAAAAGGCTGTTTTTTTCTGAACCTTAGAGAGTGGTGTATGCTAAGGAGAAAAAAAGCGTTTCTTGGGTGTTATTTCTGAGGAAGCAAAGTTTATTACTTGTATTTTAGCCAAAATTACATAAATTTTCATTCTTTAATTATTACTCAGAATTGCTCTTGCCTTTGTCCAAACTATTAAATAAAATCTTTGAACATTACGATAGTTAAGTACAAACAATGGTAGCGGGATCTTAAATTACTGTCTTCCTTTTAATTTCTATATGGAATAGAACCCACGTAACTTTGACCAATGTTTCTGTAAATTGTGTTAAAATATACATTCCTTTTCACTATTGTCCCAGTAGAAATAATTTTGCTTTGCTGCAAACCCAGATTTCAGGAAAAAGAAAAATAAATTCTCCAAACTTGACAGCTGAATGTGTGGTTTTGTTGGGTTCTCTTCATTTCTTCAGTAGCTGTAGTGGTTGCCTATTGCTGTATCCTGAATTACCCCAAAACTTAGTGGGGTACAACACAAATATGACCATCTCACAGTTCCTGTGGCCCAGGACTTTCCCCAGGGCTTAGCGGGGCCTCTGCTGCACGAGCTGCAGTCAGCCATGTGGCTGTGGGCAGGATTCAGTCCTCATGGGCTGTCGGACTGACAGCCTCAGTGCCCAGCCACGTGGACCTCTCTGTGGGCAGCTCCCCACATGACCCCTGGCTGTGTCAGAGTGGCAAAGAGGAGCCAGAGCGAGAGAGCAAGCACGACAGTTCCAGTCTTTTGTAACCTGGTCTGGGAAGTGACGTCCATCCCCATGGTCACCATGTTCTCTTTGTTAGCAGCCAGTCCCCAGGTCCAGCCTGCACGCTCAGGGAGGGGACTTCCTGAGAGGGGAGCACCGGGAGGCGGGATCCCTGGGGACATCCGGGAGCTGCTGCCATAGTCACCATAGTTCTTTTCCTTTTTGTACATCAGAATCTCCAGTAAAAAAAACAATAGACGTCTTCATTTTTCAAAGAAAACACAAACGTGCACATACAAAGGAAAACTAGTGGGGACTGTGGGGAGATGGTTCTCCAGGGGCCTCCCCTGTTCCTGGGGGTCTTTCGAGGGAGGCTTGACTGCCTGCTGTTCCAGACCATCCTCCAAGGGTGTTTGTATGGCGGACTGCCTGGGAACACCAGACGGTGTCTCCTCCCCCGGCCCCCGCAGAAAAGGGCGGATCTGCCGAGAGCTTCTAGGTCCCTGGGCAGGCATGGTGACTGTCCAGCATAATAAAGACGCTGTCTCCCTTCAGAGGGCAGGGCTGCATGCGGCCCACCCACTGGAGAAGGCTGGGCTTCCCTGAGCTCAGGGGCCTGTCCTGTAACTGACCCACTGCAGGTGTTAATGGGTCCTCTCCACGTGCTCTGCAGGGGCTGGAGCTCAGCACATGGGTGAGTGCTGACCCTCTGGCTGCGCTGTTACAGTAGGTAGCAGAGGGCTTAAAGCAGCAGAGTTCCGCTCCAGATTCCTGCTGGAGCCCCCACAGCCACCTCCGGGGATGGGAGGTGTGGGGGCAGGAAGATTGGCGTCACGGGCCTGTGGGGCAGCCTGGCATTCCCTATCCATTGCCCAATGGTCATCTGGCAATGAGCTCGCCTAGGTGCCCCACCTCTCATAGGATGGGTGCCTCCCTTGTGCCCAGGGGCAGATCCAGTCCATGAGGGCCCAAGGCTTATGGGATGTAGGGGCCTGTTCCAGAAAACGGAGGCAGCATGGTGACCGTAGTACGGCCGGGGGGGCCGGGGAGGAGCCTGAGCTCCAACAGCCTCGCGGTCATCGCCTCTGCCCGTACAATGGCTTTCGCTCACCCAGAATGGAGTGACCGTGGCTTTATTCTGGGCAGGTCAGAAGTGAGTTCTCCCTGCTTATGTGCTCACTGTGCGCCTCTCTGGGTCTCACTTCCTCATGTGTAGGTGAGGAGGTCACATGGAAACACCTCTGTGCTCTGGTATTGCTTTCAAATCTCAGGTGAAATTGGAGGGAGACCAGCTGATCCACATCCCCTCCTGTCGCTCCCTTCGCTTAGCTTTGCTCCCAGGGATCTGTGTTAACAGTCACAGGGGAACGGCACTCAGGCCTTTGCTCGTACCCGGGTCACATGCCTCTATAGGATTATCATCGTTGTGAAGCAAACTCGATCGGATGTAAGCAACTGGGCCTGAAGACAGAACCGTTGCCCCTAATTTAACTCCCCCAGCTTTCGGGAAAGGGCCTATCGTGTGGACTGCAGGAGCTGCTTTGCAGAGTAGGGGGAGGCGGCCTGGCTGAGGCGAGAGCCGGGGCTTATTAGGAGCTGCAGTGAGCCGTGGCCAAAGAGCTGGTGTCCGTATTTTTTCAGAGCCCTCCGTGAAGCGTGGGCTGAGATGGATGAGCACAGAGACACAGCCTGCGGCAACCCGGCAGGTGACTGCAAATCTGCATGTCCACACTGCCATCCAGTGGTGAGAGGGGATGGAGGTCCCCAACAAAACCACATGGAGTTTGCAGTGCTGTGGAGGATTCCGAGGCCAGCTAAGCCGCCAGCTACACAGATGCTCCAGGGAATTCTTTTGGATGGTGTGTGTATGTGTCTGTGCGTGCGTGTGTATGTGTGTGTGAATGTGTGTGTGTGTGAGAGAGAGAGAGAGAGGAAGGGGGGGAGGGGGGGATCAGTTAGAGACCGAGGGGGCAGGGCTATGCGGAAAGAACAAACGGCAGCAGGGAGGGGACGAGGGACTCTGGCCCCCAGACCCAGTGGTGGCACCTCCTTCACAAACACTGGAGCACGCTCCATGTGATTTCTCATTTTCAGTCTGAGTGTGTCCCCAGGGTGGCAGCAGCCATCAAGACCCACAAACAAAAGACTCGTCAGGAAAAGGATTGACGGTTTTGACTGTCGGCAGAGAGATAAGCTCCAGGAAGGGGATGCCGTTCCTCATCTGGTCCACGTCCTTGCAGCACTGGGCACAGAGGCTGGGTGCAGGGGAGATCACGGGAGGGGCCTTCTTCAAGGGCAGGCTGAGCTCCTGACAGATGTCATGTGGCTCTCCATTGTTCTTGTCCCTGGGGCAGCCATTGTCTGGACGTCCCCCTCACCCAGACTTGAACAATGGCTCTCCCCGTCTCTCCATGTGGCTCAGCTACCTCTGGGGACAGGTTTGGACAGTACACCCACCTTGCTTCCTTGGGGCGGGGGGTGGCAGGTGAGGGCCGAGGGGCGATCATCAGGCATAACCCAATTCAATTCAGCAGATCTGAACCAAGGATAGAGGTGTTTCTTAGCTGTATCAAGAAAATCTATGTCTGGCTAATTTAAGTGGAAAGGGAATTTGTTGAAAGCTTTTTGGGAGTTCACAGGAATTTGGGAAAGACTGGAAAACCTCTTGGTGCTCTGTGGAAGGGAACAAAGCCTGTAAATCATGCTTCAGACGGGCCTGCTGCTGCTGTTGCCGCTGCTGCCACTGTTGCCGTGGAAGGTGGCGGTAGCTGCTGTCTCCCACCTCACTAGCTCCCCACTCAGAGACTGAGGGGTGGTTCTGGTTGGGTACCTAGGTCTCCAGGGCCATTTTGTGTGTCTGCACAGGTTGTGCACTGCACAAATCCAGAAGCACCACACATAGAACATACCACACGCGGTAGCTTTGTATGTGTCTGTGTCCTGGATGTAGAGGGGGCTGGGGCAGCACAGTTTGCAGTGTCTATGGTGGGAGGAAAACTCTGCTTCCCAAGTGTGGGGATATCCCAACATAGGCATCAGTTAGCTTTTGCTGTGTATCAAACCACCCCCAAACTTAGTGACTTTAAACAATAACCATTATTTACTCATTACCCGTGGTTCTAGGGGTCAGCAATTGGGCTGAGACCAGCTGGGTGCGGCTGGGCTCACACACGTCCCTGGGCAGCTGCTGACATGGCTGGCATGGCTGGTCCAGGACGCCTCGGCTGGAAGGCTCATTCTACAGCTGTCATTCTCATCCTCAGGTGACCAGCCTGAAGACGTTCACAAGGTGGCAGCTGGTTCCAGAAAGTGAGCTTGGGTTTGCACGAGGCCCCCTGAAGGCTAATCTCACAGCTGGAACAGCATGGCTTTGTTGCCTTCTATGGTCAGGTCAGTCATAAGGCGAGCCCAGACTCAAGTGGTTGGGGAATAAACCCCACCTTGTGATGGGAGAAGCTACAAAGTCTTGTGGTAAAGAGATGCGGAGGATCGTGGCCACAGGTGCCATCTGCCACACTCGGGAAGGAAGTTCACATGTGGCCAAAAATAAGGACAGATGTCCATCGTGACAGGATTCTGGGAGAGGGAGGGCATTCCAGGCGGTCGGTGTGGGAATCGGCAGGTGTAAACAGAAGGGAGAGTGCCTGCGTGGCCCGGCGAGCTGGCAGCTGAAGCATCCCTTGCCTCTCTCCCTGGAGGTGCAGCCAGCCCTGCGAGCTGGGGTAGGTCCTTTGGCTCAAAAATCTCATCAGGGCCTGGGAGGGGGTTGAGGCACAAGGTGGGTGTCGAAGATGGAAGTTTCTAGTCTTGCCCTTGTGCTCAGGTGGGGGTGGTGCTCCTGGTGACGAGGCTCAGCCCTGTCTGGGCATGCCTCTGCCGTTGGCCATGCTTGCAGTGCTGGGCCCGGCCTTTGCGACCTCAAGGGGCACCTCCCTTCCTTTCCTCCCACTGGCAATGATGGTGCTGAGGTAGCACTCTGATGACGTCCAGCCTATTGTCAGCACATCCTATTTCTCCTTTCCTGGCTCTCGCAACCTCTGGGCCACAGTTGTTCCAATTCCAACCCTTCCTCATCTTTCATCCCACATCAGACTTCCCTGCCTGTGTCAGCTGTCTGCTGCTGCATAACAAATTATCCCACAGTTCAGCAGCTCAAAACAATGCCCATATATCATCTTACACAGTGTCTGTGGCTGGAGAATCTGGGAGCAATTTAGCTGGTGGTTCTGGCCCAGGGCCCCTTGCAGGCCACAGTCAAGCTTCCACTGGGCTCTCAACTCAAGCCTCTGGTAAAGGATCTGCCGTTACACCGACTGCCATGGTCCTCGGCAGGATTCAGTTCCTCGTGGGCTGTTGGTCAGAGGCCATCCATGGTTCCGAATCTGGGAAGTGACATCCCACCACTTTTGCTGTACTCTCTTTGTTAGAAGGGGGCACTAGGATCCACTCACACACAGGGAGAAGGGGTTACACAAGATCAATGGCGTCTCTTAGAGTCTGCCTACCTCGTGCTTGGTACACACATCCCAGAAGAGTGTCTGTGAGGGTAGGTAACTTGAAGAAATTGGAACCTTACAAGACTATCACAGTAATGACAGCACGGGCCTAATCAAAGGAACAGGGTCCCAGAGACCACTGACCCCTCGCGGCCGGAAACAGAAGGAAAGTGACGGATGTCACCTCC